GAAATTCTTCAAAAATTGGAGCCTGGTTCAAAAGATGTGTTTATTGAGGGCTTAATTGAGATGTATGTTAATAGACCTGACGAAATGAAAAATGTTTGTCTGGCTGATTTTGCTTCGATGTATAATATTTCAAAGAAAAAAACAGATAATGATCGAATTATAGAAAATTCTGATGACGAAGATATCACTGAAAATGAAAGTGATAATAAAATTGCTCCTATGAAAATGAAAAATGGTAAGGGTTGGATTAAAAAAAGGACAAAGAAAAAAATCATAATATACAGATATTTTAAACTACATCAAGATCCTGAAAACTATTATAGAGAGCAGCTAATGCTATTTCTACCATGGACTAATGAAGAAGAAGATCTTATTCATATAAACCATGAAGAGAGATTTGAATTGTATAAAAGTATAATTCAACAAAAAAGATCTGAATATATTCATCGTGAAGCTAATGAATTCGAACAAGCTTTAGAAGAACATATGGAAAAAAAAGAAGATGAAGATGATATTGATGATACAAATATTGAATACGATCAAGATAAAAATGAATTTCTCATTTATGAAATAGGAAATACTGAAGGTGATATTTTTGTTGAAATGGGAATAAATACTCGAACTGGAAAAGTCGAACACTTTAATGTTCCCAAAATAATACCAGACACAGAATATCAACAAATGATGAGAAATCTTAATAATAATCAAAGGAAATATACTCTAAACGTAATGAATTTGATTAAGAATGGTGAAAATCAATTTTTTCATTTCATCAATGGAGGTGCAGGTGTTGGCAAAAGCACTCTAATCAAAGCAGTGTATCAATCAATACTAAGATTTTATAGTTCACTTCCAGGATATTATCCAGATAGTATTCGGGCTGCACTATGTGCACCAACTGGCAAAGCAGCAGCATTAATTGATGGAATGACTTTGCATTCATTTTTAAGTTTACCAGTAAATCAATGCAAACATAAGCTTGTTCAACTAAATAGCGATGTTTCGAATAGAATTGGAGTCAAATTAAAAGACTTACAATTATTAATAATAGACGAAATATCAATGGTTGGTTTTACAATGTTTCAACAAGTCGATGCATGTTTGCAGCAAATAATGAGAACAAACAAAACAATTTGGTGGAATATCAGTCATAGTTTTAGGCGATTTCAATCAATTAAGACCAGTTGATGATAAATACATATTTCAGTTTAATAATTCATATAATGCTTTAGTAGATAGTCCATTATGGTCATTATTTGAATTGTTTGAATTAACAGAAATTATGAAACAAAAGGATGATAAGACTTTTGCCATTGCATTAAATAATATAGCTAAAGGGACAATGACAGATGAAGATATTCATCTGTTAAAGTCACGAATTGTTTCAACTGAAAATTTGGAAACGATTGAAGATGCCATAAGGATATTCAGAAGCAATGCTGAAGTTGATGCATACAATACAAATGTATTGGCTAATCTTAATACTGAAGGTGCAACTGCCAATGCATATGACTTTTGTATTGGTGATGGATTTGCATCATTAAAAGAAAAAGTGTTGAACAACGTAAAGAATCTCAAAACAACTGAAACTTATGGCTTACCACTTAAAATCGATTTGAAAGTGGGCGCTAAGTATATGTTGACAGTCAATTCTGATACTGAAGATGGATTAGTCAATGGTGCTTGTGGAAAATTAGTAATGATTGATTACGAAAAACTTCAAAAAACTAATGAAACAGTACCATGTAGAATATGGATTAAATTCAATGAAGAAAAAACTGGAAGAAAAGCTAGAGCCAATTTTCACAATGTAATGCGTAATAGAAATATTGATTCTAGTCTTACACCAATCGAACAAGTAATACGTCAAATAAATACGAAGTCAACAAACTTCAAAGTAGAACGGAAGCAGTTTCCAATAGTACCTTGTGAAGCTATGACCATATACAAAAGTCAAGGCGGTACTTACGAGAAGGTTGTTGTCAATTTGAAGAAGGGAATGACAAGATCTGAATTATATGTTGCTTGTAGTCGTGCAACAAAAGCAAGTGGTTTATACTTAATTGGAGACTTCGTTCCACCAAAACCACCTGAACGTAATGATGCAGTGACGTTGATGTTCAAAACTATGAGATCCGAGCGAATGCTGAAATTTTCGCTTGCATTTCCTGAAGAATCTGAAGAGAAAAAATTTTCCATTATCTTTCATAATGTACAATCATTGAATAAGCATATTTCAGATGTTAAATTTGACAAAACATTTTTGTCTTCTTCCATGATAAGTCTTGTTGAAACATGGACAAAACCAAGTGATAACTTAGAAATTGAAGGTTTTAAGATAGTTCACAGACGTGATTGTCATGATGTACGAAAACCATTCGGTCAAATCATTTATTTAAAAAATGATTTAAAATTCGAAAATATCACCGAAAGATATGAATATTCAGGCAAAGATCATATTGAATATTCTTCGATAAAAGTTGATGATATTTGTATAATTTCCGTTTATAATTCACCGAATTCATCATTCGATGTCCTAAGATGACATATGAATGAAGTTATAACTATTTCAAAAAGATTTTGTGATAATATAATTGTCGTTGGTGATTTTAATATAAACTTGAAGATTAAAATCAATAACAAATTTATTGAATATATAAAATCATTTGGACTTAGTTTGAATAATACACTAAATAAAGATTCAACTAATGCAAAAACACAAATTGACTATTGTTTCACTAATATGAAAGACGTAATGTCTGATTATTTTGAAAGTCTTACAAGTTTTCATAAGCCAATATGGATAAGAAAACATAAAGTTTTGAGTAAGTCTCATTTTCATGAAATCAAAAACATTCATACAAATGTAACTTCTAATATCAATGATGAAGTTATGCTTGATGACCAATTTGACACGATGGATATCGACGACAAATTTGTTTTTGAAAGTCATGAAACAGTCGATAAGAATGAACAAATTGACTTAGATATGTCCTTCCAATTAGAAGATCTCAAAGTTAATGAGCCATTTGATACGATGGAAACTGAAGAAAAATCTATTCCTACAAACTATGAAGTCATTGATTCAGACTCAAGGAAGATTCTTGATCATTTTCTCCTTCTACTTGAATTTGATAATGCTGCAGGGACTACCCAAATTTCAAGTCAAGCTCGAATAATCGACGATTTAATTGAAAAGTCGCCATTTATAACTGTGTATAACAAAGATCGATCTGTTAAAATCAGACCGAAAATAGAATATTCTGTTGAAGCATTTGATGCATTTTACGCACGAACTCATACAACTGGAGATGGAAATTGCTTGTACAGTTCTTTATCAATAATTAAAATTGGATCTGAAGAACTAACACACTCAATGAGATTATTGACAGTCAATGCTATGATTAATAATAGTAATCATTTCAAACCATTTGCCGTTTATTGAACTATTCATTTGAAGAACAGTTAAGGAGAACTGCCACAAACGAACAATGGGGTGGAGAAGTTCAAATTCATGCACTTTCTATAGCATTACGTCAGCCCATTTATTCTTATGTTAAATTTCTCGTTGATCCAAAACGTGTACACTATATTGCATCTGATATCAGTACACAAGATTTGATTAACAGATTTGATAATGGAACTGCAGGAGGTCATCTCAAGTATATTGGATATAAGTCAGATATGAATAAATCAAGTTTATGTATTCACTTTACCGGCATTCATTACGATGCTCTCTTGCCATTTTCAAATAATCCCCATCAATTCACACCAAAAAATGATATAATTGATATGAGTTTGTGAAAAAGAAAAAAAGAACTAGATTTAATTTAAAAAAATAAGTTATATTTATATAAACAAGTAAAGTCTCTGGAACTAACTCCTCGCCAGATCCTATGGGACAAAAAGAGGGCATCCGCAGGGCCTAAGGGGCAGTTCCTTAGTGCGCTCAAGGATAATTTTTTTCGAATTATCAAAACCAATCTGTCGTTGGGTTCACTTTTTGAAGTACACATAACACTCGGATTTCAATCCGAGGTTTCCGCATTTATTTTTATCTAACAGCGAATATTTTCGTTGTTATCTTCAGAGCAAAGACGAATGTTCCTGTCCTTTTCTGTCTTTTCTATGACATTTTCACATAACAATCCTACGTTGAAGACCGATTGGTAGCATGAAAAAGTTGTTCATAGCAGGACAAAGAATCCTTTTACACGACGATCTATTCATTGCTTTTTTTTTTACAAAGTATATTCAATGCTATTGATATATGAAATATGTTGTCAAATACGATAGACACGTTATTCATTCGAAAAAACTTAATTTTATGAAATCTTGTTTCGCTAGGAAGCGTTGATTAAAAAGCAGAAGATCGTTTCTGAGAGAAATAGAATGTATGGCTAGGGTGGATATGGATGCCTGTGCACAATAAGTTCAGAGACCCATATCCTAACACATAACGCGGAAACAAGATGTCTTTGATGCAGATAAGATTTAAATCATGTCTTTATTTATATAGGTTATAACATATAATAATAACAAAAAAGAATTTTAATTCAAACAAAATTATGTTGTAAATAATTTTGAAATGAAAATTTCTGTAAGAATAAATCTTTTTCTGGCATAAATTTAACTGCAATTGTTTCCAAATGATGAATAAACTTAGAATTATGTACTGCTTCAAAATTATGTGCAAGTTCATGACATGTCAATATAAAATAAAAATTAACAATTCGATGTATTATTGGTATAGATGATGATGTTGCTTGTAAATATGGTTGAACTTCATCAGCAAAAACTTGTTCATAATAACGAAGATTAAAAAATAATACATGACAATTATTAAATGCAATACGAGCTAAGAGATAAAAGCAAAATAAATTAAATTATTTAAAAGATAATTTTCAATCTTTACCTCCATCAATATCTCGATAAAGACGTAATGTTTCAATAGATATTTTAAATACATGACTGGCAAGTCCTCTTAAAATCCAAGCTAATTGCGTAGCTTGATCAAGCATTTTATTTGTAATAAGAACATTTAATTCAATATATAATGGTATTGAATAAAATAAATCTTTATAACGTGTCATATTAACTGATGGTACAATTTCACATGAATGAGCAATTTCATTGTTAACATATTCTTGTTGAATAAATTTTGTTTGTGTATATGCTCGACCTATGTTTAACATTGAAAATAATTTAGTATCATTTTTTATTTGTTGACGACTAAAATCTTTTACATGACCATTTATTTTAACATCAGTTTCATGATAATAATGATTATTATTATGATTTAATATAGGTTTTTGCTCAATCATTTGAATAGTTGAATGTATATATTGTTTTTTGTGTCGAAGTAAACGATCAATAGGTATACCACGACGTTTAAGTGTTTGTAATGGTGATGCAAGTTTATCACCTATTGTATGAGCAACTGTATCAAATGGTTTTTTAAATACAAATCTAGCTAATTCACTTGCAATATCAATATAATCAAATGCACGTATATGTTTTTGAACATATAATACAACTTTGTTTTTATCATATTCAAGTGCACATGAACTACTATTGTTTGACTAAAATGAAAAACAAATGTGAAACACAATGTTCCTGTTGCTACTAATCACAGGTAGATTATTTTATTCCTTCATGTATCTTGGAATACATTTCTTATCAGTAATAGAAATGAAGAATAATGAAAAGCTTACGTCAAATGTAATTGTCTTTTTTTTGAAATGTTAATTGACATTGAATACTATCAACTTCGTAAACAGATAAATTTGTTCGTAACATTTCAACATGTTTTTCATCAAGATTTTACATTTTTTCACCCTCTACAAAATAAAAAAAAATAAGAAATTCTAGAATTTTGAACTCATATTTATATCATATTTACTCGATTATTAACAAATAACATATCAAGACGATATTGAATTAAATCACGTAATTTATTACCTCGATCTGATACAGCAATGTTTCCTAGAAAACAATAAAATTCAATTCTATTATTTATTTAAAATTCAAAATGAAATTTTTATTTTGTAACCTTTATGTACTAATGTTCTTTTTACACATTTTGATAACCACAAAGCACCAAATTTTTCATATAATTTTGTTAATTCTGGTTCATCAGGTGGTAAGAATGGTTGAAGATCAATAGCACATTGATGATCATGATCAAGATAAATTTCATTTGGTGGTACAATTTTAAATATACGTTTCTTTTCACTAGTGAAACATTTTTCAATAAAATGATAACCTAAACACCAAGCTTCATATTTTAATCTTTTTACTAATGTTTCTGTTTGTAATTCATTTGTCTGTATTAACTGCAATAGCAAGTTGTTGAAGACAACTTGTATAAGTAGATAATCTTTGTTCTAAATCATTTGGATTATTTTGATCTAAATTTGAAAAATAATTTGCCTGTTGATCATTTAATAATTCAGCTAAAATAGTTGCGGATGGATGATGAAGTACATCAATATCACGAAGAAAAGAATTTCCTTCAAGACCATAATCAATATAAACAATTAAACCACTTTTATCTGCATCATCCATAATTAATGGAGTTGATGATATTGTTTTTATTTTTTTATTTTTTGATGTTGTTGTTTTAGCATTACTTCGTTTACGACGAAGACTACGACTACCAATGATTTGCGTCATTTCATCATTATCATCATCATCTTCAGATGTTTCTGAAAGTATAACACGCATTTGTCATAATCTTGATGATGATGTTGTTGTTGTTGAATTATCAGGATGAATAAAAACTTGTGATGGTTTCATAAGATTGTCATTTCCTTTAAGAGGAATAAAAGCAAGTTTGGATACACGTTCAATTAATGTTCGACTTAGACCATCAAGTTCATTCATATAAGCAAAAATTTTTCGAGCTGTTTCTACATTGAGTATTTCTTCTTTTTTTTCCATTAAAATATCAAAAGCTGTTGTTAATGTTGGACAATCTTTAACACCAAGTAATGATATATTGAAATTTTCTTCAAATAATTGAACAACGTTAGGCAATAATGTTGCACATAATGGACTTTTATCTAATCAGAAAAAAATATGATAAATAGAGAGAAAAAACAATTTTAAAATAATTAAAAACCTTTAAAAACTTCTTCGGATAATGATAATATAATAGTTTTCGATAGTGAAATAGATGGAAGAAAAGGTCGCTTAATTTTAGCTGCTTTCCATAATTTTGAATAATGTTGTTGAAAATTTTCAGCTAAAAATTTAAGTGCTATTGGTAATTTATATTCTTTGTTTGATTCCTTCTTTTGTTCATTATGTTCTTCAATAATTCGATCAATTAATTTTTGTAAATCAGGTACTTCACGTACACCAATTTCTTTAAGAAATGCATATTCACTTGAATGTGGATCAATATCATGCCAATCAATAATTGGTAATGTTGATCATTGAAGCTGAATAGCAACAGATGGAAAATGAAAAATTTGTGGAGCATATTTTCGTGTACTTTCTTTGCTTGATATAAGAGTTGTACCTTGAACATAAATAAAAGATTTTTTAATGCTTTGTTTGTCAATTATCATTGTATCGATGCATCAGAGACATCAATATTCTACTGCAATGGTTATTTCATCAGTAAATTTTTTGGAATTGTTATGGACTATAAGAAGTTCGTATCTAACGATAGAGTTTTTTTGTATTGTAATTAGACATGAGCAAAGCCAGTATTTTTTTTGTCTCGGTTCTAGGTCAAACTAACAAAGTCGACATATGAGTTATTCATCGCAAGTTCGCACTGAGAGGTTTGTTTTTTTAAAGATATTTCAAATCGATACGAGAATTTCATAATGTCAGATTCAGGACAAAAGTCGCCAGAATCTTGTTAAAATTTATTGACTACATTAAGCTCATACTAAATTTAACTTGTTCTAAATACTGAGTAACATTTAACTGGGTAAAATAGAAGTTCTGTAAGTGAATAAATGTCTCTTAAAACTTTAAATATTTCTTTCAGATTTAATAGCTAATAGATAATTGTTTAAACTTACCTCTAAGACATTCACTTTGTTTTAGCGCATGAAGATCTCCTTCACTCATATTATCTCTTTCTTCCATTAAATGTTGAATTAAAGTTTTCATTGTATGTGAATTTGATATAGTTGAATTTGTTAATAATGATGGTGCATGTACAAATGATTGTACATTTACTGTTCGACAACCTAAACGTTTAAGAAATTCAGCTGATATAGAATTTTCCATATTTTCTATGATTGATTGTTTATCATCATCATCATCGTCCGTTAAATTTTGTGGTACATTTAATATTATAATTGGTAAATCTGATGATAAAATTGATGATGGAATATATGATTCATTAGGAATTTTCATTCCTTGATTTGTTGGTATACATGGTATTATTGATAATGTTGTTTTTAATTTATTCCATTCAGTTTTATTTAATTGACCTGAATGTTTTCAAATAATATGTAATAAACCTGTTGATGTATTTTCTTTTGTAAATAAATATAATTGATTTTTAAGTAGATAATAATGAAGAAAATTTTTTAATGTTAATGGTGTTAATTGTAATTGTTTTTGTAATTCGTCTCGTGATATATAAGTACTGCCCATTTCAAAATAAAAGGCGGGTGGGTATTTTTTGAATATCTTTCGATAGAAACAAGATAGAGAGCTGCGGTTTTCACCGTTGGAAAGAGACTTTTTCAGCACATCGATCCATATAAAATTGTTGAGGTTTACCTCAATTGTAGGTGGTGATCCATAGTCATCTTTGAAGAGTACATTATTGCTCTCCCTAGAGAAAGTACTGAGTTCAGGCATACTATGGGTTATTTAATTTCAATCTGAATTTAAACAGAAAAAAGAGCACTTGATTTCAAATTGAAATAAGGGACTAAGGGACTAAAGGGACTAAGGGACTAAAGGGACTAAGGG